TTTTAAAACAAAATTGTCAGGTATGAAGCAGTAGACTTTTTCATTTAAGATTTAATAGTTTAAATGTTGTTTCAGGATGATTACGTTTTATCACTTGGTGGTGGGACTTATTAGTGGTGATATAACAGACTGTAACTTTCAGAAGAGAAACACCCAAAGGGGCTTCTACAGCCCTTCTCTTTTAAGCATATGCTTGATTTTTACAACAGGTATAGTTATGGCAGGAATCAAGTATGGGATTTTTATCCCTCTTGTTGAATCTATGTTTTGCTAATGTGCTCCTTAAACACTTGGTGCTGATGAGCCAAGACTACATTTTTTACATGAGTTGTTTCCTTGGTAGTATTCTGAATACAGATCTCTCTTATAGTGAAGTAGCTTTGGGATAGATTCTTTTCACCTCTGTGTGAGCTTTTCATGGTGATCAGATACTGGCATAGGGGAACTACTGGAACACTAAACTCTGGGCAAAACCAAGTTTTTGAGAAACAGTTTCTATCGGAAGTAAGATGGTAAAGACAGGAGCACCTTAGTTCTTTCTCTTCATCGTCTGTTCCTTGTGAGTATAATTTTAGTCATCCAGAAACAATTGGAGTGACCTAGAGTGTTAGGTTTCATCCTAATATTGCAAATCAAGAACTTTAGGTTCCTAACAAGATCTGTACCCCATATGCAACAATTGGTTTGCCCAAACTAGTCGTGGGGGTGGGGTTCTGCAGACCTTGGTTGAACGGAAAGCTGGTGTCCTGTCAGGAAAGAGGCGTATTCAGCTCAGTCTCTCTGCTTTGCCTGCTGGGAAGGTTAAGGCCCCATGTCAGAGGCCAGCAGAGAACCCAGGGTGCATGTTGAGTACCTGTTATATTCACAGCCTTGTCCCGTTTCTTAGGGCTTTGCCAGGTATCGTGCCATGGCTAGGACTCAGGGAAGTGGTGAGAGCCCCATTTAGCTCAGATAAGCCATTGCTGCAGAAGCAAAATAGTTCACAGGAAGGAATTCAATACTGTCAGTAAAATGTGCTAGAATATCTACCTTTTTACCATGCAGAAACCAGATTCCATTTAGGAAACGTATTAGATCAGCCTTTTATCAGTCTTAACTGTAACATGTGGCTAATAATTTATTACTGGTAGAATTAAAAACTTTCTAATGCTCCTTCAGGGAATGTGCTGTACTTTTCATTTCCTTGACCTTCTAGGTTTTCATCATTATTTATAGATTACTGCAATATATTAAAATAATTTTCTGAACAAGCAAAAATGGGAAAAAAAGATCTTTCATTAGGAATGAAATCAGAGGGGACATGCTGAGTGTAATTTCTATCAGTAGATGTGCTTAATTGTTCAGAATAACTGCAGAATACTGTTTGGGTATGTTTGATATAAAAATATTGACCAATACAAATTTTAAATAGTTTTGCTATAATTTGTGCATAGGATATCCGGTACACTTAGTGAATTCTTTTGCAAATAAAATAGTGTGCTATTCCCTCCAGTGAATTTGTCACTTAAATAATAAACCTGGTAACTTCAGTTGTATTATGAATACTAGTGACTGGATGCAAACTTCAGATTGCCGAAGACAGATGAAAAGCAAATTTCAGGAGATCTAACAGTAGGTGGAAATAATAAAATACTGAACCTGTGAAACTAATGGGAGTTCATTACTGAAATAATGATATGTCCATCTTATGTAATGCTTCTCTACCAGGGGAACTGATGAAAGTCAAAGAGGAGAAACAGCTGGAGAATAGCCGGGAGGTACAAGGGCTGCGGTGAGAATTTGAAACAATCTGCAGAATCCTTGAAGAAATGCGAGTTAGGTCAAAGCAAAGGTCTTAGCCCCTCACTGCAATTTCAACATCACAGAAAATTTGCATTTAGTCTGTAATCAAGACCTATTCACCGTGTTTTGATTCCAAGTCAGACCAGTAATTGGAAGGTCCTGTATTGCTTTTCCACGTGCTCTGTCACGCTCCCTGTCAGGTGTCTGGAGCTGGTTTGCAGAGCAGGTTATCTATCAACTTCCCCAAACAAAGCAGCATGGTGGGGAGTTTTGTGCGTCCCTTCATTATACAGTGGGAGTTGTTGCTATATGGGAGTAGCAATTAGAAGCTTCAAAAGAGAGGTAATGCTTTGGTGAGGGCTGAACAGCATGGTTTCCCCTGGATAACGGGCACTGTTCCTCTGCTGCTTCTGGGATTTAGATTCAGGGAAAAGGCTTTGAACTAAGAGAAGCTGGATACCAGGCATCTCAACTGCTCTTTTAATTAAGTCTGGTTATGAAATTATATGATCTTGGCAACAGCAATATCTGCTAATGGTAACTGCTTGTTCTGAATTTGTTACTCAGTTGAGTTACACAGGAACTAAATGTTCCTCTCAACATATTTTTCCCTCCCTAGTAACACAATGAATCATGAAGGACATTTTCTATGAAAGCTGGTGCAGCCCAGAACCAGCTACAGGAGGAGATTAGGTTAGAAACAGAAATACATGTTATGGTCCTGATTCTGCTGGAAGTACAAGCACTAGTTAACTTCACTGTTAAACATTGGTGATTTGTTTGTTTGTTTTACCTCCATCTTTCAGCACATTCTTGCATTGTGTTTTGGAAGAACTTAAACAAGCTTAAACGCTTGACTGAGTCAAGGTTTGGATTGCTGCGAGTCTGGATGCGTGTTATGTCCACAACCCCGCCTACACCACAGAACCTTTGGTTGGACATCAAACTGTTATAAATACTTGGACAGTAAAGCCCCAGTATTTTTCCAGCTATCTAAATGTTTAGAACAATGTGGCTAGGCTAATTTTCTGTGGCACCATGTTGAGCTAACTCCTGACAGCAAGAAAACTGTCAATTAGAAAAAGCAAATCAGTTGCACTACCTAATTGTTTGTATTTCCAAAGTGTGTGTCGGTGGGGAGAAATGTCTTTTAAAAGAGGTGGCTATTCTGCATCCTGATATGTGTTGTAGCAGGCATCAGTCAGTAGGGAGCAAGCACACGCACCAGAAGGGCAGAAGTGGAGTGCGTATTGTGCCAGTGTGCGATTGTTTTTCATAAGAAACTGGGATAACTTTAAAGAAATACAGACTCTCCCAGAGAAATGCAGATGGCATCACCATGCATAGGACCCTGGAGAGGTCTGGGTCATGGTCCAGATCAGGATTGGATTTTGTCTGGTTTGCCATCTACGTAGTCCTGCTGTAGAGAATTGCTGGCAAAAATTAAATGTTAATTGCAAAAAATAAGAATAAAGAATCAGATAGACCTATGCATAAACCAGCAGAAATTCCACCCTTTATGTGGCAAATATGCCTGTCATCTAGTGTCGACTTGTTCCAGCTGTGTTGGAACATCCCATCTGTAATCCTCTACAGTTTCTCTGGTTTAAATCATAAGGTCAATAGCAAGGTAAATCCAAGAGATTAGTTTGAGTCACGTGATCCAAATTGTGCCAACAACTGTGCTTTTCTGTACTTAAGCTGTGCAGTGAGGATAGTATTGGAAAAACAAAACTCCCCAATGCCTGCATGAAGTTGCATAACTCTGCAAGTGACTGTGTTTGTATGTTCACATGGGAGACGGGTCACAACACCTGGAAGTACCCCCTGGGCTCCAGAATGCACCGTACTGCGCAGGAGTGGTGCCTGCTGAAAGCTGGAACTGAATGGTCACTTCACTGAGCTTTGCTCCATCAGAAGGTCATGGGGACCTTGGTAAGATTTAAGAAATGGAATCATGAAAGCTGAAAATCTGATTAAAAAATGTTTTGATTAAATAAATCTGATTCATCTCAGTACTTAAATACATGGCCAACGTTCAGCGTGTCAAAGTTCTGCTTGCAAACTGAGGAGCTGTGAGCTGGCGCAGGCCCTGCACACAGGTGTTTGCACAGATCCAGCCTTGGTGGCTTGGCATCGGTTCTCACTGACGGCATTCACAGCATCTAAAAGGTCGAATTGTAAAAGATCACCTAGACTGTCCCATGAAGTAGCATTGTTGACTTCTGTGTAGTCCCATTGCTTTCTTCTGGCTATACTTGGATATCGGGAAAAAAATACCCATTTACATTAGGAAAGCACTCCCACTGCCCCTCTGGCTCATTCACCTCGTTCTTTACGATTTATACCTTTGGAAACTTCTGAGCTATCGTCTCATTTTCAATAACTCTATTTTCTATCTTTCTTCCAGCGAAACCATCACCATTCAGTGAAAAAGATAACACCAACTCTTTTCAATATGGTCAATAAGCTTGGGTCTTTTTATTCCTCATTTTTTTATTCCTCATTATTATTTTAAATAAGTATTTGAAAAAGAAGTTTGAAAACTGTTGCTGTCTAGTATGAAATGTTTACAGACTGCAACTGCATTTCAAGCAAATTCTCTTGCAAACACTATGTATTGTATACAATAGCAGTGCAATTTGTTATTTATAGATTGAGCATCTGGCTACAGGCAAACTTCGAAAGCTTTCACATATTTTAAGCTTATTACTGGCTTCAGATACAGAATTCTGATTTGTATGGAGGCTTCTTCTGTATGCCTGGTGGATGAGCATTGTATAACAACACTGGTGCGTAGCCCTGAAAAATGCATTCTAACGCTTCGCTCAAGATGTTATTTGCAAGAACATTGGAAACTCAAAGGCAAATAAAATAACAAGTGTGTTTGTGCCAACAAAAGCTGTTTTGTTCGTTACTCGTTCAGTATTAGGTATTCAGCAAGGTGCATGACTGGCAGAGATAGAGTTTATTCTTATTAGTCATAGAGAAGAATGAATGTTTATTATTGAATGAACTCTGACTTTAGACATTCTCAAAACCTCCAGCTTCGTGATGATGTGTTTGAGCTAGCTGTGTTGGCTTGACCACTGATTATACCTGTGCTGGCAGAGAAAAATAGCATCATAACCTATGTTGTTGCTTTGCTTTGTGTGTTATGTTGACGTACATATGTGTATATTTCTATTCCTGTTCTTGGGAATGTTTTACAACCAAGCTTAGTTCCCTGTGTAAATGTACTTGATTGGTGATGCTTGGTCCTCCAGGATCAAGCTGTCTGTCTCATTGAAGGTGTCACTTTCACCAGAGTGACTGGCATTTTTTACTCTGTTTAGCCGCGACTGCAATCGTTCATGTTCCTTTCTCAGCTCCGAGTAGGAATGGGAGAAAGTGTGGAATATTGATGTTGCAGGAAAAGACATGATGAGAATCCCACTGAGGATGCTGCTGAGAGCCACCATCTGGCCTGGAACGCTCCGTGGTACCATATCTCCATACCCCACAGTGGTCATTGAAATGATAGCCCACCAGTAAGAAGCAGGTATGCTTGTAAATTCCAGCACCTTCCCAGATTCGTTCTCGGCGAGATAGACCAAAGGAGAAAACAGAGTGACAGCCACGCATAAGAACAGTAAAAGCAGGCCAAATTCCCGTGTGCATCTGCGAACTGTGAGGCCCAAAGTCTGCAAGCCCAAGGAGTGTCGGGCAAGGCGCATTACATACAAGATCCTCAAGGCACGTAAAACCCGTAGCACCAAACCAACCTTCTCCAAATATGTGTTGCTGCTTGGCCTGTCATCCTCCTCATTTGAGTCGTCCTCTGAGAAGATGAGGGAAATGTAATAGGGTGAAATAGCCAAGAAGTCAATGATGTTTAGGGGTCCTTTGAAGAACTGACACTTGCTCCTTGCCTGAATAAATCGAAGGCAGAACTCCAGCGAAAACCAAGCCACACAGATGGTCTCTATGACGAAGATGTAATAGCACTTCTGGGAACACTCGCCCTGACACAAAACAAAAAGAATTAAATAAAAGAACAGTCGTTGAATCAGCGTCCATAAACACTAAGGAAGGTGCGATATGCATCTGCTTGAGTCACTGGTGTCAGAAATGAACAAATCCCAGTTAGCAGGTAGTCATATGGCAGCCACCTTTCAATGGTTATAGACGGTAATGAGCATGTGAAATATCTGAATGAACAGATATATCTACCTGCTTATTTTTATGATGTTGCTTCTTTGTCTAAATGAATGAAACTCATCTCTGTATCAAGTCTTGGCATGCAGCCTGCTCTCAAATGGAAATTAATTTAAACTTGACTGGTTTATAAGCCTGTACAAAAATCAGTTTCTCTTCAAAAGAAAGATTAATGTTTGAATGTCTCTGTAAACTTCTGGCGCTGTTCAGTGCATGGTGCTTCCACACACGCTGTGTCCTCTGGTGCAATTAGAAGTGGTTCAGAGATATTCATTAAGTCATCTGGATCCTTGGCTCAGTTGTGCCATATACAAACCATGTTTCTTTGTGTACATGCAAATGTTTTAATCTAAAGGAAAATTAATACCCAGCCAGTTAGGTGAAACTTGCCTTGAAGAATCCTCTCCCAGTATTGAGGCCACATGCTACGAGCAGTAATTTCTCAGTTTCGTTATCTGAGGGATTGCTGTACTTTAGCTGCCTTGGATTCACGTTTTTTATTTTCCTGAGCTGAGCTTAAAAAAAATGAAACTTCATTTGGCCTATTCTAGTGAAATGAAGAGGCAGATGTGAAAGTTGACTTGTAATTCTTTGGGCAAGCAAGAGACTTGTCCTCTAGTGGTGGGCAGCCAGGAGGTTACCTCCATCCAAATAGAGAGGCACCAGTTGGTCATGTCGATTACAGGGACCGCGGTTTACCCACTGCCTCCTTCATGTGCACAGCGTCTGCTCACTGATTCCAACTGGCAGAAGACAGATCCTGCCAACTTTTTTTACCTTACGGAAGATAAGAAATAGCAATGAAAGCAGCAGGTACTGCTTAGCAGCTGCCCCTGAAAGGAACATGTTATTTTTAAACACGGATGTCACTGCTTTCTTACACGCCCTGTCCCTCCTAATGATAAATACAATCCTGTACCTGTACAGAGAATTCATATGTTCATAAGAAGCCTCGTCTTCTGATTGGACTAGTGCTGGTTTTTTGCTTTTAAGCATTGTGAATAAGTTTGTTGAAAAATGCCACCTAACGGGTACTTGTGTGATATTTTCAGTGGCGTGTTGCTATTGACATTCAGTTCTTGCACCGGTGCAAATATTTGGATTACAGTTCTAATCCAAAACCAGTTCAAGTGACCCGGAGTCTTTCATGGACTTTGGCTGACTTTGAAGCAGCCTTGTGTGCTTTTCTTTGCTGAGCACATTATCAGAACACTGGTATATGAAGTGGACAGGGTTAGAATTTTTGGTGGATATGAGAAATCTCAGCTGTAACTGGGAACCAGAGGAGGGGAAGGCTAGTATTGCAGCCCTTTGAAATTCCAGACTGGACTCAGAATATGGCTTGTCACTCCATGTTCCAGAAAACCCCTGTGTAGAAGGTGGTAATTTAATTTTAGATTTTTAAGCTGCTTGAAAATTGATATTTAACAAATAGCTCTTTCCAGCTACAACTTTGGTACATGAAGGCTTAGCAGGGTTAAAGAGTCTTTCCTTGTATTCTTGCTGGACAAAGACTTGCATCTCTGAGATGTTGGCAACTGAGGAAAATCACGCAGAATTAGGGATGATGAAGGAGGACCTGTGCAGAGAACCTCCTTTTGGGAGAGCGGAGTGGCCATGTGTTATTCAGGAGTAACTGTAGACCCTTGATTTGTGACAAGCTTTTTTGTGACCTCTGTAGAATGAAGTCAAGGATGCTGTATGCATCTTTCCTGGTAGCCTGTGTCTCAAGTTAAGCAATTTAGAGTAACAGCTCCTGATACAGTATTATCCATTCTCAGCCAAATTTCATGAGCAATATTGGTTAGCTACACCATGGGCAACACATACCCCTACTACTGGTTAAACTTCCTACCAATGTTCAGTTACCCTCTGCAGTGCAATGTGATGTTGGTTTTTTAGTGTCCCTTGAGATAGAATTACTGCTATTCTTGGGAGGAACAGGTCTTTCTGTTCAGGCAGTGTTTATATCCATAGCTCTGCATGTTACGATCGTTGGCTATCTGAGGTTCCCCAGGTGAAATGGTAACATACTCCTTAGGTATATGTTTTGCCCTGTCTAAACCTCAGAACAGTTTAGCTCTGAAGCACCATTTGGGCATTTTTCCTCTTTCTGCACAGTAGACTGTCAAGATCATAATTTATCTCTTAAAGTAAACATCGCAGAAGGTAAAGAAGACTTGGCCCTACAAGAGTTACGTGTATAGGATCAGGTTCTAGCCCCGTTTGAAATCATTGCCGTGGCAGTGCCTAGAGTGCCTTGATGTTTGCAGAGCTGCTGACTTGGCTTGATGAGATTGCTTGCAATCAGCAGTTGTGTCAGGCAGTGCTCACTTTTTTCCGAGGTTGTGAGTTATTTGTACGGTGCAGCCTGGGCTCTGTGCAGATCTGCCTGTGGTCACTCTAGTGATGTGGCCTGTGAATTGCTCATTGTTCCCATCAAGATTTATTTTATTTTTTGTTAACTGGACTGAATTTCCAGTTCATCTTTTACTTATTCAGCTTTATACATTTACAGGTGACTTTGCTCTCAGATCATCATGTAGCTTTCATTATTCCTTCCTTGGAGAATACAAGAAAAGAATTTTTGTTTGCTGAAAGTTTCAACCATTAAGATCTAGGGTGTCTTTAGAATTGAGTATGAAATTTCAAGGTGTAGCATTGTAAGGACTGGTTGGGAGATTGTTTTCTTCTCACCATCCTTTTTTGCCTCAATATTCCCCATGAAAGTTATATATATTTAGAGAAAGCAATTTGTGCAGACAGCTTCCTAAATGCGTATTTCATTTTTCAGAAGCGCATCCTTCAGATCAAACTTTTCAGGCACGTTACTGTGCATTTTATTTCTCCTTCGTGCATAGTTGTGGATGTAGAGGATGGTGAGTTCTCCCCTGTTAGCACGCTTTGTCTTTTTTATGTACTTCGCAAAAGACATTTCGGAAATGTTTGCATATGATTCAAACCACAGTCCCTTTATTCTGCTGCAGCAAACAAAGGAGTGACACTATCACAGTCTCTGACACTGTGACTAATGCAGAGAATTCTGTGCTTCGTTTTTTTCAGAAAAGACAGAAAAAGGATGTGTTTGCTTCAGACGTACCTACACTACGTGAAGGAATATCAGCCAGGGAATTTGTATGAGGATGTTTTATATATCAGGTATATTTGTTTATATTATGTGATCTATGTGATATGGTTTATATAGAATATCTCTCTCTAATGTCAGTCTCTCTGAAGAGTCTTGATCCTTTTGAACATCCTGTGCAGTGAATATTGGAATAAGAGGTAAAAAAAGGAAATATTAAGTACAAAGTAAATTTCTGTTTCTCCCAGTATTTTTGATGATTTTTGGACCTCAGAGTGCTTTGTGTTCCTCTTACAAGTGTTTTCCAAAGAGCAGGCAGAATAACATACTGACTTCAAATGCTATGTTCTTACCAAAATCTGGATGCCTCTATGTCAATTGTTGTCACCAAATTCCCATTAGATGTCAGTTACTTTGAGTGAACTGTCAATTATGGCCCAAATACTCTGATCCATGAAAGAGGGTTTTTTGCATAAATGGCCAATAAAGGAATTTCTGTGCCACCACAACTTCATGTATTTCCTCTTTCTGAACAAAGGAAATACATTTGGGTAATTCTAGTGATCAGGGCCTGCCAACACAAAACAGAACAAACAACTCCCTTTCTTGACCTTGCCATAAACTAGAGCAGAATTCTGAGCTTTTATTTTCAGATTTTGAGTCAAATCTGTCACTGACTTCTCTTTCCTCCTGTCTGCATTTTTTCACCTGAAGTACCACAGTGTAGTGGAACCTGTAAGAGCTCCAAGCTAGTATGATGTTGACTGTGAACATGAGGGGAAGATGAGGTTTTATTTATAACTGACTACAACATTTTGGGTGGGCTTTTTCAGGGAAACCCTCTGACATGTTTTACACTACCAGAGCATCGATCAGTACTCAAACTATCACCAACTTTGATGGGAGAACAATTATCACAAAGCCAGTGGCAAGTGAGTATCTAACTCTTTATACTTTATCCATCCTGCAGATTTACTTTTGAATAATGCAAGAATTTATCTGAATTTATAGAACTTGTCTCTAGCTGAAATTCTACAACCTATGATATAAATGTAATAAAATGAGCGCCTGGTATTGATCTCACATATGAAAAGAGCATTTGGCTCAGCAATGAGGGAAAGAATATTTTAAATGTAAAAATACATATCCTAAGCCTGGTGCCTGAAATATTGGGTGATTCGTTAAATTTATAAACCACCTCAAAGAAGCAAAGTGGCTGTTTCAAACTTTGTACCACCAGAGATAATAAGCAATTCATGCTTCCTTTTCATTATTGCCTTCTGCTGCATAAGGCAATGGCTCATTTTCTGGGTCCTCTTATGCATTGGAACGTTTATAGTGTTACAGTAAAATTGCTCATTTTATGATACTTCTATGAATTTCTCTTTAGATACAAAAAAATAGGCTTATAATAAAATATAAGAATGGCAGTACTGAGTCCAGTTAGCCCAGTGCCCTGTTCTAACAGCCTGAGAAAACAGATGCCCAAGGCAAATCTCCTGGCCTCTGTTTCCCACTCCAGAGCTTGCTGAGCTGAAGATGGTGTTCGCATCAGCAAACTTCGGTAAAGTTTGGCCAGTCTTTTGGGAGTCTCCTCTTTGCTTTCAACGAGGTTCCCATGAGTTTCATTGGACACCCCAAGGCTCTGTCCCTGGAAGGGACGCTGGCTACTTGACTGACATTTACTCTTTTTCTGCCACTTGTGATTTTGTAGACCTCTGT